GCATTAAAACAAACAGAGGGTCCTTCTAAGCTTGGGGTCCTGTGTAACTGCACAGGTCACATGCCCATGAAGCTGGCCTCCCCATGGGCTCTACAGAGACTGGCTGTCTCCTACATGCCTTGAGTCAATGCACCCCCTGTTCTGAAAATGGACATTCCCGTTCAGCCTCCACATTGGCTCTTGTCCCTTGCTTCTGCACCCAGCCTTTCCCGGCTGCATTCTCTGCTCCAAGGCCAGCACGCTGGGCATTCCAGCTCTCACACAAGCAAACCCCCAGGGTGCGTGTCTGCCAGTCGGCATTGTTCTGGGGGCACCCACAGAAGAGTGGGGTGCTAGACAGTGACATCCCTGTGCCTTGGGTAGAAAGTCTATCCAGAGATAAGAGTGCACTGAGATGGGTTTCAGTTCCAGCCGTGCCACTAAATTGTGTTCTTAATGGGCAAGTTGCTTAACAACTTGGCACCTCAGTTTCTCTATCTCTTAAAGGAGAGGGTGGGATTAGATAGTCTTTAAGACCACTCCCAGTTCTAAAGGTCTGTCTTTAAATGAGTCTAAGGGAAAAAAAAGTGGCTCTAGGAGACTATCTGATATCCAACATTGCTTGAGCATTTACCATATGCCATTTGCAAGCTCATTTAGTGCTGGTAACAAGTCTATGAGGCAGGCACTGTTATTCCCAGTTTACAGATGAGGGAGTTGGGACTCAGATTACAACATATACTAAAAGAGGACACTTTGGGGGTGATGGAAACGTTCTGGAACTTGGTTATAGCGATGGCTGCCCAACTCTATCGATTTACTAGAAATCATAGAATTGTACACTTACAGTGGGTGAACTTTATAATACATGAATTATACCTCAAAAGGTTTTAAAGAAATAAAGACATGTACTGAGGCTAGTAAATGACAGAGCCTTTCACGGCTACCCTACACCACCACGGAGGGACTCCCTTTCTCTGCGTATACATAGCACTTGAAAGCATGAACTCAAGAGCCTGACTACCAGTGCAGACCATGGCTCTGGCACTTACTATCTGTAAGACCCACGCATGATACTGACCTCAGTTTCTTCACCTTTAAAACACAAACAAAAAAGGTACCTGTTTCAAAGGGCTGTTGTGAGGATTAAATGGATTAATGTATATTAAGTGCTTGGAATTGCAGCCAAGTGCTCCAGAAGGGATGGACTATTATCACCTCCAGGACTGGCACAGCCAGAGGCAGCCTTCTTAAAGGGGACGTTTCTCCTTGCCACCCCCTTCTCTATCCTCTGGGCCTCTTAAAGAAACACTTCTCTTGAAAAGCCATCTTTGGAAAAACACTGTGATGAATTTCAGTACATCTCACTTCCTGGTAACAAAGGGAGAAACAGCATCTTCCCGATAAGGCAGTGACTCGCTCAGTCTCGTAAAACATTCATTACTGTGCCAGCTTTTCCCACAGACTGTTTCTTCCAGGTCCTCCTAAGCGCAATCAACACAGAGGCCCTTCTTAAAGGGGGCCCTGAGGCCAGTCATGAGGCCTGAGTGGCTGGGGGGGGGGGAGGGGGACAACTGCTTTGTCCACATTCCACCCCATCCCACCGTCATGCAGCCCCCGTGGGTTAATGAATCAAGCTAGAAAGGGCAAGGGTTTCTAGTGGACAGTCAGATCTCTACCACTTAAAAATGAGTTTTCTAGCCCTGAGACCATAACCAGAGTGCATGTGACTGGGGTGGAGAAGAGGATGGGCTGGGGGTGTGAGCTGGTGCTTTCCATCTGATTAGCACACTTCTGCTTATATTTGCACAACACTTTATGGGCACTTTCTGTTTCATTTTCTCACTGAATACTCACCTAAGCCTTGGTGGATGATTATTGTTGTCGTCTGGGTGTCAATACCCCTTTTTAGTGATGAGCACATGGAGGTGACGCCCTTCAGCAAGCAGCTGAACCGAAGCGCGGACTCAGGTCTCCTGATACCATGCCCAGTGTTTTTCCACTGTGCTGAGGAGGAAGAAGTCAGAGGCTCCCTCGGACTCCACCTCGGAGGCTCTAATGACATTTATTAAATGCTCAAGAAAATAAAGCAATGTGCTGTCCTCAGAGCCCCACCAAGGTCCTCACAAACTGCTCTGGTAGCCCTGAAGAAGAGAGCCCAGAGGTAAAGGCAGTCCCTCCGTAGGTCACATGGAATGTAGGAGCTCTGACTGCTCAAATCCCCAAGGTCCCACATCAGATAACCCAATTGGTGAAACAAATGAGCATTGGTCCACAGACCTGTGTGCCAGGAAAACAGGCAGAGCCCCCGAAGAAAACAGGCTGGACCTGGAAATGTCACTTGCTATGTGATTTCTGAGGGTCCCAAAGCCCTCATCTCAACTCAAGCCAGGTCTGAGATTCTGTAAGGGTGACAACAGGCTCCTGGGCCGATTTTTTAAAACCCATGTGTCACATTGACATTAATCCTCTTGTTAACAATCTTCTTCCCTGAAGCAGGATTGGCTCTAAGCTGTGTAAGGAGTGGGGGGCAAAGGGAGTTGTTGGGTTTTAAGGAGTCTCAATAAGGTCAGCAGGGCCTGGAGGCCACTTTGTTCATGAGTGAGTAAGGGGAAGGGGAGCACTTGCTGAGCCAAGGGTCCCCAGCGGTGAGCCTGAATCTCCTTCAATTCCCAACCCTTCCACTCCCAGCACCCCTGTTGTTCTCTCCACCCTCTGCTCCCCACAACCATGTCCTTGCCTTTACTTCTTATTGATTTTCATATTTAAGGAAAATCCATTTGCTTGATTCAGAGTAACTGAGTCATCACTGTGTTCAGAGGAAAATCACTCACAAAGTAGACGCTTGGCAGAAGCCACTTGTGGGATGGGCAGGGACTCTGCTCACACCCCAACAGCGCTCTGTCCAAGGTTGCTTCTGGCTTCTCTCCTGCTCTGTCTTGGCCACCTTCTCTCCCAGGAGGCTCCACATCCACTGCCTTTCATCCCAGCCAGACTGGCCTGTTTGCTCTCTGTCCTCCAACTGGTCTACATGCTATTATGTTTATCTGCTAGAGGTTTATGATTGGGACATTTGGAGCAGGGTCAGACAGGACTTGTATAATCAGCCATTCACAAATGGGGGAGAACTATTAATCGTATGCACCAATGGAAGAAATTAAACTCTTACCAAATCATAGCTCTGGCCCACTTACCCTTTCCTTCTGGGTAGTGCCCAAGAAACAGTATCATTCCAGCATTACCCATGTGGGTGAGGGCCCTGTGTCTCACCTCAGGATGGGTTGGGGACAGTTCAGGCTGATACTGGTTTGTATGACTATTGTGTAATCTTGGTCCCTGGGCCGAGGAGGGCCAAGGAGCTCAGCCAGTCCACTCTCTGATCCCTCAAGAAGAGACAGCGCTTCTTTTTAAAAATTATTTTTCTAACATTTATTTATTTTTGATGACAGAGAGACACAAAGCAGGAGCAGAGGGAAGGGGCAGAGAGAGAGACACACACAGAATCCTAAGCAGGCTCCAGGCTCTGGGCTGTTAGCATAGAGCCCCCCACAGGGCTCCAACTAGGAGCCCCAGAGACAGTGCTTCTTCTTAAAGGACCAGGCTCCCCCTTGCAGGCAGAGGGGACCGTGCAAAGTAAGGAAGAATTCCAGGTAGCACATCACATCGTTGAATGTTAAATGGATACAAGGTTGTAGGATTCAGACTCAAGCATGGTGAGTGGTGTCCCACACTGTTCTAAGTGTTTATTGCACTTGATCCTCCTAACAATCTTATGAGATAGCAACAATTACTATCCTATTTACAAGTGAAGAAATTGAGGTAGTCAGAGGTTTAAGAATTCATTCAAATTCCCATGGCTAGTAAGTAGTAGATCCAGGATTTGACCCCAGACAGTCTGCCTTAAGATAAGCCCATACTTTTAGCCATTACACCCTCATCTCAGGTACCCCTCAGAGGCAGCCCCCTCCCCACCTCAAAAGACAATTCATTCCTTTCGTGTCAAAATCCTTTCCCTTGATCAGATGGGAACTTCTTCAATGTCCCTGCTAGTTCATTGTCTAGCGGTCCTTCACCCTCCCCTTATGTCCACATGCACTGTGACCTGCTCGGCTGAATAGGGGCTCAGGCAAGACTCGGAGGTTCTCATCCTGACTCTGCTCCATTCCCTAACTCGTTGATACTGCTGGTGGAGCATTCAGAGACCTCCCAGGGAGCTGATTTTTGCTTTCTATCCCGCAGCTCCTCAAGACCCTGGAAATAAATCAGTCCTCATGATGGCTGGAGCTGGTGAAATCTCTGATCCCAGTCAGCTGGGTCCTTGGCCACAGCTACTCCCTTGCACCGCAGACCTCAAAGCTTGCTCCAGAGGCACAGGCCACCTGATTTCCTTCTCCCCTCTTCCAGCAGAGTCTGGGAGCCCTCGGGGCCGGGAGGCGGGGGTGGGGGTGGAATCGTTGCACTGCAGAGAGGCTGCCCGAGGTTCTGGCCGAGGACGCTCTAAGGTTCTCGTCATTTTCTCTCTCATCTTCTGCCCCCTCCTCCCACTTCCACGGCCCTGGAAGGAGGAGGGGCAGTGGCAGAGTAGAGAACGTGGGAAGAAGTCACGTTATTTTACTAAGCATCTACTATTCGCGGGGCACTTCTGGGGCCTCCCCTCTCCTCCGCACCCGAGTCCCAACTCAGATAGGGGTAGAGCGGAAGGAAGGATGGGCGGAGTCAGAAGCGGGTTGAGGAGGCTGGCGGGTTCGTCTGCCCCCTCCAGTGAACCGACCGAACTAGCTGCAGCCCGAGGATTTGTTGGGGAGGGGTGGTGGGTCTCCGGGCAAAGGAAGGGCTCAATTGTGCAAAGGCTTCCTGCCCTGCCAGCTCGCGGCCCCAGCCCAGCCACCAAGCAGCCGCCTTTCTGCGGCCGGGGAGGCGGGACGGGAAGGCGAAGGCAGGAAAGGGTTACGGGAATAGCTTTCCAATGACAAAGTCTGGAAGGGACCCATGCCTCCGCCCCTCTGCGGGTTAAACTGGCACAGTGCGGGGGGGAGGAAGGCGAGGGCGACCAGAAGCGCAGCCTGCCCTGCCGCCGCGCGCCCCCCACCCCACCCCCGCCCCGGCCGCCGGGCACCCCCTCCCTGGGCCCGCGTCGGAGGCAGCCGGCGTGTGCCTGGGGCAGCGGGTCACTAGGCTCCGCCCCCGGCCGCCCGGCCCCGGGGGACGCACTTTGTTCAGGATGCCGCCTCCCCGCTCATTGTGGGGCCGGGGCCGGCGGCGGCCCTAGTGCGAGCGCGCGGCGGACGCCGACCCCGCGAGCGAGGGCGGGAGGCGGCCCGGGGACCCGGGAGAAACTTTCTTATCGCGAGGAGAGCGCGCCCGGCCCGGCGCTGCGCTGGGGATGCGCGACTCTGCGCGGCGGCGGCGGCGGCGGCGCGGACCGGGACCCGGAGCTGGAGCCGGAGAGGGCAGGCGCGCCGGTGAGTGGCCCGCGCGGGGTTGTCGCGGGGGGCGGGGACCCGGCTGCGGGCGGCGGCGGAGCCCGACCGCCGCCGCTTCCCACGTTGCGGGGCCGGGACAGGTCCCCGGGGGAGGTGAGCCTGGTGCCCCCGGGGAGGCTGAGCGCTGGGCTCGAGAGAGGCGCCGGAATAACAAGGGAGCCGCGGGCGGCTTCCCGGGAGGGTGTGTGCCGAGGCGTCCCGAGGGCACTGCGCGTGTGCTCCAGGAGTTGACTCACTAGAGGCTACCGGCGTCAGCCTTTCGGAGCCTCAGTTTCCCTTTCTGTGAAATACCTGCAGTGTAAAGTGTGCTGAGATCCTATAACCAGAGACACCAAGTGCTGTGTTACCGCACACACCGTACCCATGTTTACTCCCATCCCAGCGGAGCGAGCGGAGCCGCTGGAGCAGGTGACCTTGCCGGGCTGTTCCAGAAAATGGTCACTGGGCGCCCAGGTTGTGCTGCGAACGTCCGCCCGCCACACTCCCAGAGGCGGTCCTCTTTGGCGGTCGCCCAGTGGAAGCGTTCCGGGGGAGACGGGAGGGAAGAGAAAGGAAGGTTGGGTGAACACCAGGTGAACCTTGGTGAGCTCGGAGCTTGGGCTCTTGTGGTCCCTTCTATCCTCAACCAATATATAACCTGGTCCTGGGATAAAGAATCATCCAAGTATGCAGAGGGCAGAGAGGGGAGGCAGGATCAAGGGAGGGCGTGAGTGGTGAGGGGTAGTGGCGGCGTGCAGGGGTGAAGTCCACTCAGCAGAGAAGGTTCCTTGTCCCCCGGAGCCCAACACGGGAAAATCAGCTGGTGAGTCAATGGGACTTTGTTAGGACAGCCACGGGGCGCAGCTGGCGCCGGCTTAAGGGAAGCGCCCGGATCCCCCCTTGATAACATGCTGTTTATCTGTCTTCCTGTTTCAATGATTGGGATACTATTGGCTTGTTCAAATTCAATGCTGAAAAGCCTGCGGCCACGTTCGCTCTGCAAAAGCAGAGGGCTTGCCTAGGTTTTTCATCTTTCATCCGTCTTGTTCCGGATGCATGGTGTCCCCTACAACTGACTTATAATGGGGCAGCTGGACTTCACACAAAGAACCCCTCCCCAAGTAGGCGGAGCTGCCACTTTGGCTCCCTTCAGACCCAAAATACATGTGACTTCAGCCTGCTTATGAATGTTTTTTATCCTGCTTTGAATTTTGGTTGGTGTGTCTTTGGGATTAAGCTGAGAAAGGAGACTATGGCTACGGGTTTCCTCCCCTATAAAGAGCTTTGTGTCCTTTTAGCCGTGCATGCTTTCACTGTTAATTTCTAGGGGAAGTTATCAGTTAGTTTGTAGTTCTGTATCATCCTGTGTTGTTAACAACCTGGATGATCAGAGAGCAAATAATTTGCCTTTCTGTTTTGGTTTTCACTTCTTTGAAACAGACCTGGGGAAAATTGCTACTCTGGGAAGAATAAACAAGGCTTTTGGGTCTGTGCTTCAGCCTCTAGCGTCTGCTTCAGCCTCTAGCGTCTGTTTGCTAAACTTCCTAGTTTAGGGGGGTGAGGGGAGCAGCCCCTACTCTGAACTGCGAAAATTTATCCAAACTCCGTTGGGGTAGGTTTTGCTTTGTATTTTATTTATTTTAAAAATATGTTTTTAATGTTTATTTATTTTTGAGAGACTGAGAGAGACAGAGAGTGAGCAGAAGAGGGGCAGAGGGAGAGAGGGAGACACAGAATCAGAAGCAGGTTCCAGGCTCTGAGCTCAAACTCACAAACCGCAAGATCATGACCAGAGTTGAAGTCAGACGCTTAACCGCCTGAGTCACCCAGGTGCCCCTCGATTTGTGTTTCAGATATTTGGGATTTGTGCACATGCCTTATCTCCCGATGAATGCCATATAGCCAGATGTCCTGTCTGAGCACCTAGCACATAGTAGGCACTTTATAGATATTTGTCAAATCATACATTCGGGAAAAAAATCTAAGGGACACCCAGAGGCCTCCCATCCAAATCAGATTCCCTTTTATCCATTTTTTGAGTTGTTTGATTTGCCTCCACTCCAATTTTTCCCTCTCAAAACATAGTCCATAATAGGGTTGATTTGCCCACTGGTGGGCAAGCTTTAAGCATTTGGGCCTTTTGTGAGATCTACTTGGGGAGCCCTGGCTTGGGGAAACTGGAAATAGGAATGCTCTTTCTCCTTCCCTTTGCCAAATCTGCTCCCCTCCTGAGTCCATGTGAGCCTCTGGCTTCCGCTCAACCTTGGTCAAGTAGGAAAGAGTGGCCTAGGATAGAAAAATCTCTTGTCCATTCTTTAAAATTTGTCTCTCTTTCCATCTTTATTTTCTATCAATGTCACTTCCCTTTTCTTTTAAAGTTCTTTTGAATTCTTAATGGGCTTGGCCTTTAGAAAAACTAGAATGTTGAAGTCAAAAGGATTTCTTCCCCTCCCAACCCCTGCCCTGCCCCCCTCCCCTTTTATGGACAAGAATCCAGAGAGCGATGGACTCAGAGCCACACAGCTGGAGCGCTGTAGATGCCAGCCTAGACGGTCTTCTGGCCACCAGTCTAGGGCTCATTCCCCGTCAGCAAATCACCTCCTTGCACTCAGGGTTTTTCTCTGCCTAGTATGTCCATCCACAGATGTCAGCAGATGTTAGCTGTCCATGAGAGAGGAACAGAAACAAGGGGAAAGGAGACCTAGCTCAGTGATGGAACCAGCCACCAGCACTGAGAGTCTGTGGAACATGGAGAACTAAGAATGTGGCAATACTTGGCAAACCCTTCATCTTTCTGGCCCCTAGTCACAGAACAATAATTAAAAACACTTCTAGTTCCTTCTACAACTTAAAAAAAAAAAACCCAAAACCCACCAACTTTTCAAGTAAAAAACACCCTCCTCAGTAAACAGTTTGCTGGGCTTAATCCGTTCCCTCAACCTCCCAGGAAGGCTGAGTCAGGCCTGATTTCCTCTGAGGAGCCTGGGATTTTACTTCCCTACTTCCTGTGCCTCTTGAGACGTGAAGGGAGGCAGGATGGCTAAGACCCAGGCCTTTCTGAAGTGCCTGTGCCTCTGCTCCTTCCCCATGTCCTGTGCGGTGTATGCTACCATCCCCATCAATCTCTGTGCTCTACTTAATTTTAATATGAGATGCACTAATATGCATGAAAAATTAAAGGTGGCTGATGCTTGTGCCTCCGCCCTGACCATTAATAACAAAACGTTTCCACTTCAAAGGACTGGGAGACTCTTTTAATGTCCAGTCCTTAGATGCTCTGAAAGCATTCCTGAATAGAATTGTTGTCTTAATTTCCTCTTCAGACCCATCACTGGTGGTGTATTGAAAAACAGCTGATTTTTGTGTGTCGATCTTGTACTCTTGAAACTTTGCTGCATTTATTTTATTAGCTCCAATAGCTTTTTGTGGGTGTGGATTCATTGGGATTTTCTATAGGTAGGATTACGTCAACTATATATATAGTTCTACTTCTTCATTTCCAATATGGATGCCTTTTATTATTATTTTTTCTTCCCTAATTGCTCTGGCTCGAACTTCCAATACAATGTTGAGTAGCAGTGGTAAAAATAGACATCTTTGTCTTGTTGCTGATCTTAGAGAAAAAGCTCTGTGTTTCACCATTGAGTGTGATTTTTGCTGTGGGTTTTTTCACAAATGCCCTTTATCATGTTGAGGAAATTCCCTTCTATTCCCAGTTTTCTAAGTGTTTTCATCATGAAAGGGTGTTGGGTTTTGTCAGATTCTTTTTCCTGCACCAATTGAGATAATCATGTGTTCTGGTACATTACAGTGATCATTTTTCTTATGTTGAATTACCCTTAACATTTGTGGGGTAAGTCCCTCTGAAAGCTTTTTTTGTGTTTTAGTTTGCAAAGTTTTACTTCTTTTATTTAAGAAAAAAACTGAAGAAAACGTGACAAAGTGCTAACAGTTTGCAGTTGGGTGAGTCAATGCACGTTCATGATATTTTTCTCATAGCCACTGTACTTGAAACATTAAACAAGTTTTTATTGTGGTAAACATTTGCAACATAAAATTGACCACTGTAACCACTTGTTTTTTAAAGGTTTATTTATTTTTGAGACAGAGACAGAGCGTGAGCAGGGGAAGGGCAGAGAGAGAGGGAGACACAGAATCTGAAGCAGGCTTCAGGCTCCAAGCTGTCAGCACAGAACCCGACACGGTGCTCGAACCCACGAGCTGTGAGACCGTGACCTGAGCCAAAGTCGGACGCTTAACTGGCTGAGCCACCCAGGCACCCCAACTTTAACTACTTTTAAGTGCACAGTTCAGTAGCATTAAGTACATTCACATTGCCACCATCTATCTCCAGAACTTTCTTATTCTCCCAAGCTGAAAACACCTAGCCTGGGAAATAGTAACTCCCCATTCTCTACTCCCCTTAGCTCCTGGCTACCACTATTCTACCTTTCATCTCTATGAATTTGTGAAGACTTTGTGATAAGTAGAAAAGTCAGGACTTCAAGACTTTAAATGAAGCGTAGGGGTGCCTGGGTGGCTTAGTCGGTTAAGCGTCCGACTTTTGCTTAGGTCATGATCTCGCGGTTCGTGGGTTTGAGCCCCGTGTCGGGCTCTGTGCTGACTGCCAGCTCAGAGCCTGGAGCCTATTTCAGAGTCTGTATCTCCCTCTCTCTCTGACCCTCCCCTCCTCATGCTGTCTCTCTCTCTCTCTCTCTCTCTCCTAGAAATAAATAAAAATATTAAAAAAAAAAAAAAGACTTTAAATGAAGTGTTAAAGGGCCTCCCCTGACTTCCAAAGGGAACATCCTGGGGGATTTTGATTCGGATCTTCTAGTCTTACAAACAATCCCTCAACAACTGCGCCCCGTCAGAGACATTTGTGCCAGGTGTAGAGCTGAACGGATTCCTGGTCATTTCGAGGCTCAGAGGGCATCAGGACTGGCCTCTGCATGAGCTTCATTTCTTCCAGTTTGGCATTTCTCTATCTTGGCTGCACA